CGCTAAAACCCGTGGGCCCTTTTTTTTTTTTTTTTTGGTACGGAGTAACTAGCGGCAGCGCCGTTACAATTGCGCGGGACTTGCGACTTTTACCTGTTTCCATGTGCATTGTCGACATATCCGTTAACACTCACGATACAAGAACATGTTGAATCCTGCTAGTATACAAGTCACTCTGTGAAACAGGCTGCATGTGGATCATGCGAGATCCCTGCGAGTAAATGTGTGGCTCGTGCTTGTGTCCTGTGGCTGGTGCCCATCCAACGTCAACCGATTTTCGGATACAACTGCTCCAAAGCTCCAAGCCCAACTTGTTCATCGCTCAACGACTTCCACAGCCATCCTGTCCTCAGCAGCCAGAGAGGTACCCTTCAGACGCTAGCCTTGATGAGGTGCTTACTTCGTCTCTTGTAGCCTGTCGGCATAGCCCGCGTCAATTGTGAGGGCTGCTGCTCTCACTCATCAGCGCTCCTTACCGCACCATGCCGGCAGCCCGAGACATTCAAAGAGCTCTAGCTCGCATCAGAGCCGTCATGCCCGCTCAAAAGCAATCGGCCATGGCAAATCGCAACATTAAGCTTGGGCTTGAACGCATCAGTCGCGTGGTCCCAGAGGAGCAAAAATGGATCGGTGTCCACGTTGGCGGCACCAACGGCAAAGGATCAATATGTGCGTTGCTCGCCGGCATGTTCAAGCTATCCGGCATTAGCCACGGCACATACATCTCTCCGGCGCTACCAGAACGTCACAACGCCATCACAATCAACGGCCTGTATATAAACAAGCGCATGTACGAAATGGAGCTTCAACATGTCGAGGAGGCGTACAAACGAGCTTCTTCTGGGTGGACGTTTGCCGCTGGAGATGAACCTGGTGATCTGACACCATTTGAACTCGAAACCGCTGCGGCCTTTCGCGTCTTCAACAAGATGAACGTGCAGTATGGCATAGTCGAGGTCGGTATGGGCGGGGCAACGGATGCCACAAATGCCATGAAGGAGAAGGCAGTCACCATCATATCCAAGATTGACCTCGACCACCAAGAGTACCTAGGCAATACCATCGAGGAGATTGCAAAAGTCAAGGCTGGCATCATGCGTCCCGGCATACCGTGTATTGTTGACCACACCAATCCCTCCTCTGTTATGGATGTTCTCCGAGACCACGCGCGAACTGTGGGAACACAAGTCAGTTTATCATCCAAGGCACTGCCTTTCATAGAGTCCCTCGACAGAGATATGTTCAAACTACAAGACTACGAGCAACAGAATCTGCTCTGTGCGACTCTAGCTTTTCGAAATCTGTTTCCTCATCTTTACATCGACGTCAACAAACTACTAGCACTAAGACCTCAATTGCCTGGACGAATGGAGCAAGTATCCGTAGCGGGACTGACGGATGGCACACGTCAAAAGCCAGTACTGGTAGACGGAGCTCACAACATGTTGGGGGTGGAGGCCCTGGCTAAGTACGTAGATGGCTCTCTCCGGAATACCGGTGAGCCAGTGACATGGGTCATTGGACTATCATCCAGCAAAACGAAGCCCTTCTCAAAAATCATTGAGACCTTGATTCGTCCACAGGACAATCTGGCATTTGTCGAGTACGCCCAAGGCCCCAATGATCCTCCTCCTGCACCAGCCGATCTTGGCCGCGGTGTGGCCACACAGATAATCCAGGACGAGTCTCGCATTTACGATGGCGAACCTAATATTGGCAACGGAGTGCAATGGGCATGCAGCAAAGCGGGCGACGGACCCGTCGTCATAACAGGAAGCCTCTACATGATCCGAGAGTTCTACAAGATGGAAGGCGTAGAACCAAGCAGGAAGATCAAAACGAGGCGGCCAGGTCGGTCGCAACTCTGGCGTTATATCCAGTTGTCCAAAGAAAGACCACTGACATCTGAAGAGGCTAGGGAGTTCAAGCAAGCCAGAAGACACTGGTATCTCTCCCCCATGAACAGTTCCGTCTTCCGAGATGTTCGCAATGGTGGCAATCCCGTGTCTCCTCCAACGCCGGAAAGCATTCGAAAGCACCAGCGAGATGCTGCGCATCACAAGAGTCAAGCCGACGGGTACCGCAGCGCCATTCGCAGCGCAAAGAAGGATATGGACGGCGGCGCAGATGGCGATGGGGAGCTTTCCAAGATCTTGGAGTGTCTTGCAAAGCGACGTGATGAACATTTGCGTGCATACAGCAGCGCCATGTTCAAAGTGCGAGGACATGTCGTCGACTCAGAGAAGAAGTACATGAGTTTCGAGGATATCTTCAGACAGCCTGACAAGCGGAAGAGCAGAATCGCAGCACTCTTGCCGAAGAGGACATGACACAAAATGAGCAAACTCGGTTATCGAAGCAGCAGGCGTCCGGAAGGTCGTCAACCGCGGTTCGACACCGGTCAGAGGATGATGGCTTGCGGGGGCAACATCTCACAACAATGGTAGTGTAGGAAAGAGCCCCAAGAAACAAAAGAGAACCAGGGCTCGCGACGCATAACATGGTCAGTAAGAAGAGGAGATAGGAGAGGTACGCGTCGGGTTATTTTAAGAAGAGACGGCGGATGCTTGGAGAAATGTACAATAGTAATACCCTGGATGAAGAGGCGGAGCAAAAGTGATATTCTGTACGTCGTAGCTGGGTAGTTTGGACGAGGCATACACCGGACGGGGCAATCTCATTCATGATAATTGATAAAGACGCCGACCAGCAAGTGAGCAGGCACGTAAAAAAGGGTACGGGACGTCCTACGTGTGCCAAAAACAGTGGTAGGTAGAAGACGTCCAAATAACATAGCAATCAAAACTACGCCTTACCAAGGCCATGAGGTTTTTTTGTCAACGAAATGTCCACCGGTCGTACATGTACAGCGGCTCGGCCAAGTCAAGCAACAACAGCACCGACCGATCGCGAATAGGGCCACAAGACATAACATCACGGTACATGATGCACATGCACGGTAGCCACAATTTTGCACAGGTATCATAACCAAGCCCCCCATCCCATCACCCCATCTCCCGGCCATGCCATCATCGCAGGACCCCTACCCTGGCTCCATAGCCAAGACCATAAGCCCAAGGCCAAGCTGAACGCCATCGATATTCCGTGCCATGAAGAAGCCAAGAAAAAGAACAGAGTCATGCAAATCGTATATATAATCCCGCAATCATCATCACAATGTTTCTTCCCACGCCCTTTCCAAAAAAAAAAAAAAGAAAAAAAAAAGAGAAAGCCGGAGCTTACAGACCATTGCTCTGACAACTAAACACACCACCGACCTCGCCTGCGTGAAACGAGTCTATGATGCCTTGGACGCTGGCATACGTCCCCGCAGTCAAGAAAAAGAAGCCCGTCAGGATAATGATTACATTGAGGCCCATGGAGAGCCAGTCGCCGACGGGGTTGCGCTTCCGCCCGACGGTCTTGTCAGCACTGCGCATGCGGAAGTAGGCCACGCCCCAGAAGATGAAGCCGAACCAGCTGTCAAAGAGGGAGCTCATAACAGAGAGGACTAACAAGGGAGGATCAGCATTAGGAATTTCCAGGTTTGTTTTTAAAAAGCTTGCGGGACTTACGAGAGGAAAAGAAGGGAATGACCTGGGAAATGATAAAGGCGAGGATCCATGTCGTGAGGAGGATGCCCGCCCAGGAGCCCCATCCAACAACCGTGTGGTCGCTCAAGTGTTTTGAGTTTCTGAAGACGCGGAAGAAGACGAATCGCGCCGTTACCGAAGCGTATAAGCATCCCAGGAAGATGATTGTCGGGATCATGAATGAGAATGAGACCTTCTTGTACAGATCGTCGAGGGATCCGAAGGCGGGCGCCTTGACGTATTGGTTGCCGCTGTAGGCATAGATGACGGCGCCGACGACGCTGAAGACGATGATTTCGGCGATTGTGCATGCCCAGAGGGACTTGGGGAATTCACTACCAAACCGTCAGTTTAGTCGTCATCCCTCTTTGAGTTTCAACATAGGAAAAAAAAGAGCATACCGAGGGTCACGCATTTCAGCAATGAAGCTAGGCAGGGTAATCTGGCCGATGAAAGTATAACTAATATTCAGAAACGCAGCCATACCCTGCACAAAGGTGGTGCTCGCCACGGGCACAGCCGTGACAATCGGCTCACCCTTCTCGGGCGAGTAGCCGGCCGGCTTCCCCTGGACGCCTGCAAACGCAGTAGCCAAGACGACACTGATCAAGGTGAAGAAGGCAGAGGCAGTGCCGAGCTTGGACATCATACTAAACGTTCTCGGGAGCGAGGCAAGCCAGCAAATGACGACGATGACGACGGAGAACTCGACGGTGCGACACCCCCCGATGGCCGTCTTCTCCGTCATGGTGTTGAGGTACTCTGCGCCGACGAGGACATGCAGCGCCTGGATAAAGGTATTGTTGAGAACGAACATGACGGCTGTCCCCCACCACGCCCATTCCTTGCCCCAGAACAGCGTCTGGCCGAGATCACAGACATCGCGGATTTCGGGGTGACGCAGGCAAAACTCCCACAGCACAAGACTCGTGTACAAGACGATTGCGGCGACAACCACCGTCAATATCAACCCCGGCACGAGGCCGAGGTAGCTGTAGGACCAGGGGAAACTCATGATGGCCAGACAGATGTACTCGCTGAAGAGCAGGGCGGCCGTCTTCTGCCACGAGCAGGTGCGGTACTGGATGGCGGCGCCGTCCTCCGACGCGAGCTGGCGGTTGAGGATGGCCTCGCTGGACTCGCCCTCGCCCTCAGACACCTCATCCTTCAGGTACTCAGGGATGTCGCAGATGCGAGGGCCGACAGTGACGCCTGACCCGCCGAAGATGGAGGCCAGCTTGGCAGAGCGACCCTTGCCGGATTCGAGGTCGCGCGGGCCGGAGACAGGCACGGAGAGGGATCCGGAGAGGGATCCGAAGCGAGAACCCGAGCGGAGCTTATCTGCCATGGTCAACGACTCTGGAGCGAGGGATTGACAGCGTTGAGAGCGATATTTCGTCGTTCTCGTGGAAGCGACCGCAACTTATGGCGACGACGGTGTCATTCGGGTGGGTGGTGATGATACACGCTAGTGTTGAGCTCGGTTCGAAGGAATACTGAAGAGCAACTCGATCCGCCAACGATGGTGTAAAAATGAAAACAAAAAAGAAAGTCAGCGCTCTGTTGGATGGCAAGTCGAAAAGATGAATTGCGACATGGGCACAAGGATGCCTCTCAACCTATTCGCACTGATGGGCAAACAGGCAACCGGATTCGGACACGGCGACGACCACGCCACGACGGGCCCCCTCGGCCGCAATTGCGTTAGTTGCTAGCCCCAGGTATCCAGGACCAGAGTCTCCTTGGCTCCTCACTCGCTGCACTCGAGTAAGACTCCGTGTTAGGACGTATTATTGTCAGGTCGTCGCTGCCTCCCCCACACACGCAACATTGAACCCACAGGTTTGTCCACATAGCGGATGTGGTTGAGGCGACGGCGCGGGAGCAGCGGGCGCCCTGGACCGCAGCATCGAATGCCATTCGACCTGCTCATAGTGCTCCAAGAGAACAGGGCCAATGCCAGGCCGCATGGAAGGCATGTCGAGAACAGCACGACCACCATGTCGAAGGTTGGGGGTAAGCGCGATGACGTTGGACCCGACGCCACACAGATTTACTCTGGTCCTTGTGGAGTCCAACGACGATGATGTGCTGCGCCAGGTCAGAGGTTGGTCGAGGATGGACCTCGGCAGGTTTGGTTTTCTGAGTCTCTTCTTTTTTGCTTTGGTGAAGAGTTTCAATGTGCGCTTGAACTGCACATGGGCACGTCGGCGCCAGCTTGGGAACTATAGAGTTCAATGTTGGCATGGTGCAACCAGGCAGCAAAATAACCATACCAGACAGGATCAACTATTTGAGACACCGTCGCCAAGAGCCATCTCAGATCCGTGGCTTGGCATTCGGGCGCGCCGTACTGGCTGCCACACAGACCCGACCGTCGCCGCTTCCAACATGCAGCTTTGTGATACATACAGTGCAGGAGCAAATCCCAACTTGAAATCTTTGACGGCAAAAGTGGTTTAACCGGACAAGCGGGTCCATTCTGCGCTCATGACGTGCTACATACAACTAAGTCATGGCGTAGCACAATATTGTGTGTATATTTGGTAGAAAAAAAGGGCGACGACCCAGCCGTTTCGGACTATCGGTTCTAGCTGGCATGCCCCCCGACGATAGTTGTACACGAATTGATGGCGCCATTGCAGCGGGCATCACGCAATTCCGGGTACTGTAGATGTAGATGCAATCCTGAGCACGACAATTGAGCTGATGGTGCGATCCTCCGCTCGTGGATCCGTCTACCGGCTGAAACAATGCGAGACCCGTTAAGCTTATTTGTCCCTCATGATCGGAAATACGACATTAAGCCATGTGGTGTACAATACGTTCTAGAGCTCGATGCAACACAGCCTTGGACCCTTGCTCATGGAAAACACGCGTCTTGTACATCAGGTTACGTTGAAACCACGATGAATGCTTGCCATGTGTGGTGATCCGGGCTGAGAAAACGGGAAGAACCGCTCATGGCGTTCTTGGCTGCGAGGAGACTGGTGCGCCGCGGCTTGTCGTTCGGACTGACTGAACATGTCGACAGAGTCCGACATAATAGGCACTGTTCAACCCGACATCTTTACATCCTCGTTGGGCAATCAGTTGTCGATTCGGTATCTTGGTCTAAAGCGCAGGCAGTACGTCCGATGTAAATAGCAAAACCCAAGGCTACCATAATCTGGACAAAATGGGGACCAAACTCGTACGAAACCGACGATAGGAGTCGCAACCATTGAGTACCAAACGGAGGAGATGCTTGTTAACTAGGCCCTACTTGAATACCTAGGTAGTTTGGGAGGTCCGCCGTGCCGCATGTATAAAAGAGGCGCCCCTCATCAAAATAGTCTGCTAGACGGTCGTGTGTATGCTCAGAGCTCCCATCCTATCAGCTTGGCAGTAAGGAATGGAATTCAACTGCACATCTATAAGTCCTATTTTACGGGGCACAATGCACCTACAGTGACTTAGTTGGAATTCAATTCCGGGCACGGAGCCTGCGTTTGTTTGTCACCCGGATTTAGCAGATTTTTGAATCGTAATCTTGGCTGATTGCTTTGACCGTGGCGAAGTCTTGTATGACTGCGGGGAGTGGATTGCAGATTTGAAAGAACAGCGCAGGTGCATTTGAGATTGTAGTGGGAGAGCGGCCTACGAGCCTGTCAGCTTCTCGTCGAGAGATTACGCCTATCCATCAAGGCTGACAATTTGTCTCCAGAATTGGAGCAAAAATCATTTGGGTAAACCCCATGCGCGGCTAGTGGACGCCACGCATTGGGCGACCGCTGCCCAACGGCATGTGCTGCGACATGGATGAACAACGTTGTACGAAGGCGGCGGGAAAATATATAAATTTCGGATGGCGGACTGGGGAGTAGGTAATGCAGCTATTGGCTTCAATGTTGCTTCGTTCATCGATGGCAGGAGAAGAGAGAAGATGGAGGAGGCAGCTGCTGGAGCTGGTGGGCCGGGTTGCAGCCGGTGAAGCGGTCACGGCAGGAGCGGTCTGGTCTGCTCATCAGTCTGCTCACACCGTCGCACACGCGACCTTTGGACCAATCTGGAAGCAGCGACATGGCCCTCTTGCCTCAACGACGGACTAGTAGTTCCTTGGTACTTCACACCTCGTAAAATGCATCGAAAATGCCATTCCAATTCCACTTCTGCCACCCCTGAGGCTTTTCTTTCCGCATTTCGCGATACGGAGTATATGTACAGCATGTCTTCGGTGATATTCTCATCCTTCACTTGAGAGCATTGATTTTGGAAGCGGCAACAATTGGCATCTCGTGCGGCAAGCCTCTTTCGGCCACAACTGCTGCCCCGCCAAGCCCACGCCGCTGTTGCTGCTGGGACGTCCTGACGCAAGCCTCGGAGCTTGAGTTCGGAGCAAGGGCACGAATATTCGACCTCGAATATCGAGTTTGCATCAAGGCAACAACCCTCAAGCTTCTTTGCAGAACGCTCATCATTATTTTGCCCTGAATGCGTTCCATTAACGTATGTCCTGTACTAAATGTCGGCCGATGAGTAGCCCGTGCCATCACACATCACGCACATCACACCTCACGAGCCTTCACGTGCAGATAACGCGACGATAAGCTAAGCTTCCATTCCAGCTGAGCTTGTGCCGGCCTAGGTCCATTGTGGACACCTTACACCTTGCGTAGAAGCGGCACATGGTGGGCGATTGCAAGAAAAAAAAACAGCTGGCAGGCTTCCTTAATCATCTTAGACTACTCTGTACAGACCCTGTCTGTCCAACCACAAGCGCGTCCTGGCTAGCATCAACACACCATCATTGAAAAAAAAAAGCCACGCGCTTGCGCTCGACCAGAAGGCGACACGACGACCCGGCGACTCATCTCTGGGTGTGCTGCAAAGAACAGGTGACGTCGATCAGCATCTGTCCCGCAGGCGGTTCCTGCGCAGAACATCGCACGAGTGCAGCTTTGGCCAAACGCACGATACGCTGAGCTACATCTTGTACATAAGCTTGTGAAAGCTCCTGGGGCCCCTGCGACCCTAACGCCCGCCCCAAGAAGATCGTTTCGAGACTGGGCCAGCGAGGCGAGAAGACTGAGTCGTCCGACCTGAAACGCTCACAACTCCGAACGATTAACATTTGTTTCTCCCGTCGACTCGACTGGCACGGCTTGAGCCCGCCGCCCTGCCGCTCCGATGTGGTGGCTATTTAGCATTTTTTTCAGCTCCATCTTCCTCTTCACCATCGTTCTGTCAATACCCGTCGCCTTCGATGTCGGTGGCCGTGATAGTGGGCTGGCGTATAGCCTGTCTCTCTTCATCTATTACCTCGTCTACTCCGCAATCCGCATTGTGACCCCGAGCAAGTCACGCCTCGCCTCGACCATCTCCAACCTCCTCCGACTGTCACAGTGGGTTGTCATCCCATCGCTGCTCATTTGGGCCTTGAGTCAGTTTGCTGTCGATGCGGGAAGCACAAACTGGGTCGAGAGGACGTTGGGCGGCATCTTCCAATCTAAGAGCGCAAGTTGGACTGAGTGGATGTTTGGCAAAAACGGCGTGCTGGAGACGGTTATGCTGGGTAGCTGGGACAATGTCCTCCGGTATTCTGGTCCTGTGTTCCAGCTCCTCGAGGGCTTTTGCACGCTTCTTGTGATTCAGGCAGCGGGTCAAATTACTCGTTGGCTTGTGAACAGAGGCAGAAGTGACACCTGGGTGGTGAGCGACACATTCCCAACATTACTTTTACTTGCGTGTTGTACTAATTAACGCAGATCATTCTGTTGGCCTTTTCCGGCACCATTATCGCAAGCGCCGTATACTTTCTTTGGCGAGTTGCACAGTTTCCACGAATCAGCAACCTAGATGCAACACTTATCGGTGTAACCATGACTACAGCAGTGTTCCTTTGTGCCTACGGCATCGGAAGTGGCCGAGGCAATCCTATTGAGAGCTCTCTGCTGTTTGCTTACGTGGTACTGTGCGTGTACCAAATTTTTACCGACTACCTACCGTCTGAAGAAGTTGAAGACCAAGCTTCGTCACAACCCGAGATCCCACCCTTGCCGCCAGTTATTATGGCGTCCTATTCAACCCTTCTACACATTCTAGGCTCGCTTCCGTCGGCTATCCACTCCTCTCTGGCCCTTTTGTACGCCGCTTTCCAGACAATTACGCCGTCAGTCATCATCTCTCTGACATATCGACTCTTCGTCTTTTATTCGGCGACGAGAATCATTCCCTCAGTGCGGGATCTCGGTGCACGTGCACTTATGCAGGATCCCGATTTTGAGGATTCAGAAACAGCCAACAAGCTTCTTGGGTTCCTGAGCTGGTTCTCGCCGTCCATACTGGTGTCAGTGTATACGAGCTTGCTGCTGCAACACTTTTCAACCAGTGATGGTCCCGATGGCTGGACCCTCAGGGGTGGCGATGTTGGTGGCAGCACGTGGAGATGGATCAATGTCGGCTTGACTATGGTCCTTTACGGCGTGGAGTTGTACCTTGGTACGGAAGAGTCTGATCACTGGAAAGTCGATTAAATACAATCCACCAGCACCATGAACAGGAAGGAGATTTGATATGCATGTCAGGGGAGGTGGGGAAACTCGATTTGATGATGGCATTCAATGCTGCCCATTACAGCCCGCCGGGTGGTGCTGCCTTGGACATAATTTTGAGGAGTCGTCCTGGAGCAAGCAGCGGACGCGGCGAATACAGAGCATATCCCCATATATGGCCTATGGGTGCGACTCAGAAGGACCAACACGAACAGAGACGGACAAAATAGGGAAAAGAAGCTACAGGCAGTGTGATGAGGAAACGGGAAGATTTGAGCTCGGCAGGTTGTTGGGAAATTGGCGGGCATAACCGCCGGCGTTACGGTAGTCAGGTGATTCTTGTCTGGAGCATGGCGATATTGATATGATTTATTCCTTTTGTCAACTCGGTGCATTGTGAGCGGTGTAATGTTTGGGTCGATTCTTGGGACCAGTTGTCAAAGTTGTATTTTTCGAAACCCCGGCGTTATGACATGCTTGCCACCAACCCTAGCTATCGGCAGACAGGATTAATTGACGATATGGTTACTCTGTAATTCTTGACTAATTTTTGCTACATAATACCCTTGCGCTCCTGAGGGCTGTCAGTCATTGGCACTCGATGGGAGAGTTGTCAAGACTGCATACGCTATTCTGTGGTACGTCGTCGGCAAACATTGTTTCGGCTCGGCTCTGTCGATGTGCAACCGCGGTTGATTGGTCACGGTCTCCAACTTCACTTGACATCTCCCAACATTCATCACGCAACGCAGTCTTATCCTCCATTCAAACATACAAAAAGCAAAAATTGAAAATTGAAAAAAATAAAACACCGTCTCAAGAGGGCCACTATCAGAAAAGACAAGCACAATGGATGAGTATTCAACCAAGGGCCTTGACCCTGCGCCTTCCATCTCCATGACGACGATTCCAATGGCCGGCCTTCTTGTCGATGTGTACGGTCAGGACGAGCTCGCCAGTCCCAACATCCCCCTCACCAGTCTTTGGCTCCTGCACCCGCGCACGCGGACAAGAGCCCGGATGCAGGATATCGCCCGTCGCGCCCTCCACGCGTGGCACCTCTCGCCCGCCTCCAGCTCCCGCGGTCTGGTGGCCCTGTCGTTCGACATGCCCAACCACGGCACGCGGCTGGTCAGCGAGCTTGCCAACCACGCCTGGGACAGAGGCAACGACAAACACGCAATCGACATGGCGGGCATGGTCAAGGGCGGCGCGAGCGACATGAGCGGGCTGATGGACCTCGTGGCCGGCTATCTGGGCAGAGATGTCGACGCCCACGTCTGCCTGGGCTGGAGTCTGGGCGGCCACGCCGCGTGGTGGTCCTGGTTCGGGGAGGACAGGATCGACGCGGCCGTTGCTGTCGTCGGGTGTCCCGACTATCTGGGTAGGTTGTTTCCGTTCTCTGTACCTGGGTTCGGCGTGTTGACTGGTGGTTAAGATTTGATGGGTAGTCGGGCGAGACACTCGGCTCTGGACACGGGAGGCGCCTCGCTGCTGGGGAGTCGGTACTTTCCGCGGGATCTGCTGGCGACCTGTCGGGAGCACGATCCCAAGGCCATTCTCTTTGGGGTGGAAGGGCCGGTGCCGCCGCCGCCGCTGTCGCCGGGGGAGCAGGCGCGGCTGCGGGAGATTTTCGACGCGCGCATCAGGGGGAAGAAGCTGCTGGCTTGTTCGGGGGGCGACGACGAGCTGGTTCCGTATGCGAGTTCGCGGCCGCTCCTGGGGGTGTTGAAGGATGCGGTCGAGGGGTGGTACAGGGACGGCGAGGTCGTGGTCGAGGATAGGGTGTATGCCGGCGTAGGGCACCGGTTCAGCGCGGACATGGTGAGGGATGCGGTTGGGTTTCTGGTGCGTGCGGTCGAGGACGGGCCGAGAAGGGGCGCGAGGGCCAAGATTTGACAGTGCCATGATGCTGGATGAGATTCACGGAGGCGCTCGAAGCGCTATCCCAACTAGACGAATATATATACACTCAACCACTACAGCTGTTGTCGAGCCATGTCACCAAGGCCTAGATTGCTCCTGGGGGTTTTTATTCCAACCAGGACTTGTATACACAGACTATAATCGTCCTCCGACGTGAAATTCACCACGGCCTCTCTCCGTCGACCAAGACTTCACATGCACCGTCCCCAATGGTCCGTAACCCCCCCTTATCGCCATCCTCTGTGCCCTCCTCGAAAATGCCCTGCCACACTCCCCAAACGTTCCTGCTCGCCCTCTTCGCCGCCAGCTTCTGCCCCCTTCCATGCGGATCATGGCCCCAATCCGCCTCGGCCTGCGTCACGCCCGTCATCACGCCGGGCTTCCCCTCCAAACACGGCGGATCTACACCGACAAACGACACCCTATCCAGCGGAAACCCAATAGCGACGCAGTGGCCCTCTAACATCCTTGGCCTCTTGAACGCGTGGCTTACAATGACCACGCGCCGCGGCCAGCAATGGAACCGCGCATAAAACAGCGATAGGCTAAACAGCACGTTGTGGTAGGAGTCAAGGGCCCGCTCCTCGAGTATGATATCCGTCTCCATGACGGGAGGGTCAAGGAGGCCAAAGTAGGCGTTTTGCATGGCCACGTTGGCGTACGACTGGGCCTCTGAGAGGGTCGTTTCTTTGCGGGTTGGCGCGCTACATCATGACCGCGTTAGCTATTCGGAAGGTAGATTTTTGCAACTCGGGGGGGATTTGGAGGAACCCTGAGAATGCGAGGACGGCGTGGCCCCTGTCGTCTGCGAGGCATTGGAGCCCGGCTTTGATGTGCGCGATGAAGGTGGGAGTTTCGCCGTGCTGGAAGTCGGCGAGGAGCCATTCGGCCTCGTTGTGGCCTTTGGAGGGTCCGCCGAGCCATATGCCGTGGCAGCAGACGATGATGAGCTTGGTGGGTTGTGACATTGCGCTTCGCGGTTGACGGGTGTAAGTCGGGGGTTGAGGCTGATCGGGACGGATCGCGTCGGGTGGGGTTGGTGGTTGTGGATTGGGGAACAGCGTCATATGCTCAAGGCTACAAGTTTGACTGTTCAAGATGGATTGAGATGCGGCTGCTTGGAGGAGGTGTTGGGTGTTGGGGCTGTGAATTCGCAAATTCTTGTGCTTGGGCGTCGCTTGTAGAGTGGCTGGTAGGACTATGTAAGCGCCGAGCGGTCTAGGTCGAAGAGGATTTGGGAATTTTCTAGATATTCGCCCTTGATCGCTTTTTATAGTTCAATTCTGTTATACGCAAGCGAGTGACAACTGGTTCTCACCTGTATGAAGCCCGTGGACAACAAAACGTGCCTCCGTCACCACGATAGACGGACAGACTCATCATGTGTTAGTTACCTAGGTGTTTACTTGTAGTGGAACACGAATTAGACACTTGATTGTGGAATCGTCATCCTGATCCAGGCAACCGCTAACATGATCAGGTGACGGTGCTTATTAGTCGACTCCTCCGTCTCTAATAATGATAGAGACGAGTTTGATAGTCTGGGACCGATTTGATGAGTGGCTAAAATCAGATGCGACGACATATTGGATCAGCGGCAAGCCCGGCTCTTTTTTCTGGCGCCCAGGCACAGCCATGCAAAAAAGCATTCGTGGCCTTCTATCCTCACTACTTTATCAATTAATTGACGCTGATGCGAGTCTGCTGGAAGTTCTTTTCACCAGCATAGAGAAAGTATCCAGCAAAGACACCAGCCTGGATTGGTCTTTGGATGACCTGAAACCCGCCTTTCGAGTTGTGATTACAGAGACGGCCGGCCCAGTTTGCGTTTCCATGGACGAAGTTGATGAGATGGAAAGTCGAGACAATACCGTGAAAAATCTCATTCATCTGGTAAGCGAGTGGACCAACTGCCGGCCTAAAATGTTCAAGATGTGTTTCTCAAGCCGCCCTGAGGCTCCTATCCAACGACGATTGATTAATTTCCCATCTCCGACTCGAGGGCCTAACCGCCGAAGACATGAGAAAATGAGTCAGTTCTAGTCTTCGGTTCCCATCCAAAATGATGCTTCTCATGATCATGGGTCATGGAAGGTATAGTGAATAGCCTTTTGTAAATGGCCCAGGGAGTGTTCTTATTGATGAGAAACCGCCGGATGCTCATCGAGATGTTCTTTGCTACCAGTACCGAATTGAACAGGATTCTGGACAGCCAACAGGACCGCCATCTGGAAGATTTTGTCCTGTCTGGTTGCGACAAGATGGAGAGAGACTTGTCCACGAGGTGGCAGGTCGGGGAGGATTCCCACGGACTCTCCTCATGCAACATTCTTGCAAAGACGTGTAACCTTTTTCACCGAACTTCGTACGACTGGCTATGATGTGAGTCCTAGACAGGAACTGCTGATTAGGAGACAGAAGGCTCGTCTTGCAACATTCCAAGTAGCCAGTATGAAGCCATCTGACAAGATGTAGGCAGGGTGGTACGACGTTGTTAAATTTCATGACTTGGTACGGAGTATATAACCTGAAATTGATTGAAGATCTGGTCGACGTTGACGAAGAAGTTCCTCTGCCGGGAAGACCGTTGGCTGAATTGACGCCCGTACAGCAGAGGTTATGGTCTTACTGCGCAGTTCTGCATGGTGTTTGAGCGTAGGTTGAGTGGCGACGGCAATCTACAAGACCAGATGGAAGCATTGGCTTCATAACGAAAGACAAGTATTACAACAAGGACGAATATATCCGAAATTCACGGAAGAAAATCGCGGATTGACTCTTGTGATGCTGGAGGCTCGGCCTCGGATGTTGAAGGGAACAGATCAGCCCACGCGATGGCGGCGGACGGCCTCATTGGATAGATTGATGGGATACCTACCAAGGTAGGTACTTGGAACACGGGCAAATAACATGTTTCTGGTATGGGAGACAATATGCCACATCAGTTGGCCCGTTTGAGATGGAGCTGAGAGGCGAGATGTGGTAGTATGCATACTCCGTAATCCGTCACCAAAGATGGAAAAGTTAACTAATCGACGCCGCATCCATATATGTATGGTTTGTTCCCCTGGAGCTACTTCAGCCAACACTTTTCGAAGCTTCAATTTGGACGGGGCTAGTCTCGAACAAGTACAGATACATCCAAGCCCCACCCGTTCATGGTTCCTCTTCTGGTCCCAGGAACAGACACCGGCGACCGCCCTGGTTCTCCTCGTCCAAAAACCACACCACCTCGCGCCTCTTATCCTCGAACTTGGAAATCCCAGAACCGAGAAGTCAGCCAATCCTCTTCCTCTTCCAACCTCCAACCTCCAATACGAATCCTCTCCTTTGACCTAGATTGATGCTGCGCCGCGGCCTCGGACCCCGTTGCTTTCCCAACCCCCCGGACACCACGACGTACGCAGCCCTCACTCAACACAAATACAACTAACTACTCCTTGGTACCTGCAAAGCACCGAGTATAACCACTCCATCGCACAACCGCCGCTCAATTGCCCACCATGCCATCCAACGGCTCTGCCACCGTCACCAAGACGCCCAAAAACAAGTCCCCTCCCCCGGCCAAACAAGGCGCCAATCCCAAGCATGACTTCTTCTGGACCTATACCGAGGAGCCGCACCGCACACGTCGACTGGCCATCATCAAGGCCCATCCAGAGGTTTGGCCGACCCCCCGTTAGCCTCCAAAAACAAAAGAAGGAATTATGACTGAAACTACCCCCCAGATTACAAAACTATGTGGCCCTGAACCTCTGACCAAATATGTCGTCCTCGGCGTCGTCTCCCTCCAAATCGTGCTCGCCTGCCTGCTCCAGTCGACGCCCTTTTGGTCCTGGAAGTTCTGGGCAGTCGCCTACGTCTTTGGCGCCACCGCCAACCAAAACCTCTTCCTGGCCATCCACGAGATCTCGCACAACCTAGCCTTCAAAAGCCCAATGGCCAATAGACTGTTCGCCATGGTGGCCAACTTGCCCATCGGCGTTCCCTTCAGCGCCGCATTCCGGGTTCGTTTCCACCCTTCGCCCCTCCCCTTCCGCGAATATAAACGACTTGAAAAAAAAAAAGAAAAGAAAAGAAACACTGACGATTCACCAGCCTTACCACCTGACGCACCACAAATCCCTCGGCGTAGACGGCCTCGACACCGACCTCCCCACCGCCCTCGAAGCCTTCTTCCTCGACTCCATCCTCGGAAAGGCCTTTTTCTGCACCTTCCAGATCCTATTCTACGCCCTGCGGCCCATGGCCATCTACCGCATCCCCTTCACATGGGTCCAGTACGTCAATGTCGCCGTCCAGCTCGCCTTCGACGCCCTCCTGCTGCGCTACGCGTCCCGCAACGCCCTGCTGTACCTCGTGCTGTCCTCCTTCCTCGCCGGCAGCCTCCACCCCCTGGCCGGCCACTTCATCGCCGAGCACTACGTCTACGAAACCGTCACCCCGACGGAGCGGGACCCCAGCAACATGATCCCTGTGCCCGAGACCTACTCCTACTACGGGCCCCTGAACTGGCTCACCTACAACGTCGGCCTGCACAACGAGCACCACGACTTCCCCGCCATCCCGTGGACCAGGCTCCCCGCCGTCTATGAGATGGCCAAGGAGTTTTACGAGCCGCTGCCCCGCCACGAGAGCTGGGTGTACGTCATTTGGAGGTTCATCTGGGACGAAAACGTCGGCCTGAACTGCCGCGTCAAGCGCAAGGAAGGCGGCCGCTTGGTCGGCGGCGCCGTCAACTGGAAGGAGAGTGAGGTGCAGGCCTAATCTTCACGGCACGGGATCGATAGGACACGGGACAGCGAAGTTCCCGTCTGGCATGATTTTAGGCGTTGGGATTATGACGTATGTTATTCTTTATTATTTCAATGAAAATGCCGCATAGAGCTTGCATGATAGAAACCGAATATATTTGCAAATATCCTGTATCCTACCCCTCGAAGCCCATATACACAAAGTGAAAAAATGGGCAATTCAAGCAAAGTTGACGTTGCAACATCTAAAATGGGCTTTTGACCTTGGTTGTCCCAAGTACACTTTTCTACTGCAAGTTGATAAACAAAAGAGAATCCATTATACGCGTCATAACAGTAGCTAGTGCAAGTACAGTACAATGCCAAAGGCGCTACTCGATATCAAAATGTGGTCTTGTCCTCAACCCTCCTCTTCATACACCTGCCGCAATACCCATCTCAGGCAACCGCTTTTAAGGGCCGCTGGTTTTTGCAGACATGTTTTCTGGTGCACTTGCCCTTCCGCATGCTGCTAAGATTGTGCACTCCGCTGCCGAATTCTTATGTTCGAGTCAGTTAATTATATAGCCCTTACGGGGTTCGTCTGAAAACAAACCAAGCGCATGGTTTGTGCATCTTCCAGGTGAGACGTGTTTTTTGCAGGAATAGGGATGTTTTTGTTCGTGTCTGCACCCATGTCTTGGAGATTGTCTCTCGACGTGCAACTAGAAGAAAAAGTAGGCCAGGAGGAAACTCAGCAGACACAGCAGGGCAACAATCTGCACGGGAACGCCGTCGGGTTGTTGCTGCTTAACCACCTGTGCAGTGTTTCCGGCGGGCCTCTTCTCTTCGCTGGATGCGCTCTTTACGTTTCGCTGGCGAAGACCGCCGTCCTTCAGATTCAGTAGCTGTGCCTCTGCCTGGGCAAGTTTGCTCTTTAGCTCCTCATACGACAATTGCGCCGCCTCGGAAACAGAAGTGGCGGCGTGCGATACAGCAGACTTGGGGCGCTCGGACTTGTCGTCGGTCTCTTCAGCAGGGTCGTCCGAGGCGTATGGGGGTGGAGCGGAAAGGGGTGTTGAGTTGGCGTTGCCACCGGGTGAGGAGAATGTCCGAGGAGCATCAGGAGTCTCTGTCGCCTGAGATACGCATAGTTAGCTAGCATTCGCAGGTGCAAAACGTCAATGACGCGTGTGAGAGTAGACGTACCCCATTCACGGCTGAAGGCTTGTGGGGAGTCGAGACAGCAGGTGCAGTAGGCCCGTGAGCATCCTCGCTGTTGGCGGCAAGCCAGTTGACACGAATCTTGCGTTCGACGAGTGTGGCCTTGTCTGCAGACTCTAGGACAGATGCAATGCTGGAGAAGTCCTTGTCGGAGGGGATTGGCGCGCACTGAACGAGGAACTTATCGCGACATTTGGCATCCAGGGGCGGGTCCTGTTTCATGGCCTGGAGGAGCACTGATTGTTTGTGTGGTGTCAGCTGCACTGCCCGCTGGGTTGATGTTGGGACTCGCCTAAAAGAAAACGCTCCGCCGTACCTGTAACATCGAATGCATTTCCGGGCTCGATACGGCCAGCATTGGGTCGAACGCAATACTGTTTGGGGGCGGTGGTTTTGACCTAGGTCCAGGGTCAATATCGTCACCATCTGTCACAACGTCATGGCGCAATGCGCCGCACTGGAAGCGTACTTTGAAAGCCAGAGGCGAGGTGCCTGTGTTTCGTATGGTAAGAGTTCGCGAGACCTCGACGGTAAAAGGGCCTAGAACGAGACGCAAATCGAGTTAATGATGACGATGATAACATTGGCGGAGAAACTGGAGAGGTGGTGGAATGCTTCACGTACGAGCAAAATTCAGCTCGAGGGGGAGAATGTCGACCGTCATGGTGGGCAATGCTCTCGCAATGGACTGCTCTTGGGATGTCGATATGGTCGGAGTCGGGTATATAAGTTTGCGTCGACAGCGTGGAAACGTCTGGCGGGGATAGCAAGCTGCAATGCACCCAGAGTTGAGGACACTGTCTAGATTGGATTGGACTAATATATTGGAGCTGAAAGTTGATGTGGAGAGCTTCTGGCCCGGGGCAACTTGGGGGGTGGGAAGGGCAGCGCCTCGTTCGTGCAAACCAACTTAAGTATGGAAAGGGTAAGCGAAGTGCACGCGCAATGAAGGAGGGAAGCAAGAGTTAAAGTCGCAGAAAGTCGGGCCGGGTGTGGGTGAACAGACAGCAAGGCGTGCTGGCGATGGATGGCCTGAGCTGAAAGAGGTGAAGAGGTCAAGCAGGGCTGAGCTGTTGTTTCAAATGCTGCAGTGTGAGGGTAAACTGAAAGTGGGAAAGGCGTGACGGCAATGATGACCATGATGGCATCAGCCCAGAGAAGCGGAAGGAAGGCGACGGCCAGATCAAAGCACAACCAAGTTGTGTCTGCTGCTTTTGCTTGTGAGCCTCGGGCCATCTTGGAACTCACCACCAAGGATGCCCACAGCTACCGGACGGCCTCGATGACATCTTTCAAGCCCCTGTAACGGTTGGACTCTAGCGACTCCTCCGTGGAGTCCCGCCCGACGATGGCCCTTGAACCTCTCGAAGGGGGCCTCGGGACCACTGCCGAAACATCACGCAAAATAGCAGAACGTGAATAAGCCAGTGTAAACAGGACACGTTTGTCTTTGGCCCATCTCCATTAACATCATATGCCCGAGTATGCCCTTCGAGTGGATTTCAGGCTTGCATTTGGTCTGCTCTGCATTGCCACCATAACGCGAATATTCAAGGTCATCCATACATACCTAGGTATGTACAGCATCCATTTGCGGTCCGCAATACTGTGCAGAGGTCACCTTTTGTGGATTGTACAACTTGAATCTGCATTTTCGCATTTTAAAATTTCACTATTTCCATCCCTACGACTGTACCTAAGATGGCTGCACATGTGGTCTTCGAAAGACGGGGGGCCTGCGACTTCTCCCCATGTCACCAAAATGGCGGCCGCTACCTGCCTACCTACCTACCTAGGTAGGTACCTAGGCGTCGTGGTTAATGCCTGACCATCAGCTGTCTCCAGCCGCCAACTGGCCACTCAGCGACCTGGCCCAGACTAGTCGAGGCAGCTGTTGAATGACGTGCCAAGATAGTTACTTACTTTGCAAGTCACAACAGCCATACATTCAGGTTGTTAAAAGAAACAGTCGACTCTTTGGCTCAAGTCCCTCCTCGGCCATTGAAAAGGCACCGCCGATTCATTCCTGCTTTGCTGCTCCGGACACATGGCCTGACCCCACTAGGACGCCGACTTACAGACTCACGTCACTCACAACCGTCTAAACAGCTTACCCCTCCAACTTGACAGCCGATATCATCACTGCCAATCCCACCAACAATATACATCCGCCTTCGCAGATATGCCGTCAGACCTAGAGGCCCTCACTGAGATGGGCTTTGACAAGACCCGGGCTGAAATTGCTGTCAAAAAAAGCGGTGGTCGTACGTCTAGTCTGCTTGCTCATGGTCGATTTGGCAACTAATCTTGCGTAGTTCAAGGAGCTCTGCAATGGCTAGAGGATAACCAGGACAAGTCTCTGGACGAAATCCAAGCCAATGAGGCCAGTAAAGAGGGTGAGGACGATGAGGAGGATGCCGAGACCAAGGCCAAGATCGCCGAGCTGGAGACGGGCCAAGCTCGCTCGCTCGTTTGCAATGAGTGCGGCAAGAAGTTCCGAAATCACGATTTGGCCACGTTCCACGCTACCAAGACGTACGTCTACCTTCATCATCTCACGTCTTTCTTTTTTGTCCACTCAGAATCGACGGGTACTGATGTGACATGGTTTGATTCATAGAGACCACACCGACTTTTCCGAGTCTACCGAGGAAATCGCTCCTTTGACCGAGGACGAGAAGAAGGCTAAGCTCGAGGAGCTCCGCGAACGCCTCAAAGCTAAGCGGGCAGCTCAATCCGTTCAGGATAAAGAAGACACCAAGCGCAACGAGGTTTGTCAATTTACTTGTGCTTGCCCAGCCAAAAACATTTCTTTTGCTAATCAAGCTCAGAAAATTCGACAAAAGTCTACCAAAGAAAGCCAGGATCTTAAAGAGGAGCTCGCACGCAAGGAACAGATCAAAGAGGCAGCCCGCAAGCGCCAAGAAAAGCAAGACGACATTGAAGCTAAGAAGCGCATCAAGGCCAAGATTGAAGCTGACAAGGCGGAAAGACGCCGCAAAGCTGAAGAGGCCAAGGCCGCAAGAGAAGGAAGAGCTCCCGAGGCTGCTGCCAGTGCTTCCGCACCTGCGGCCGCAGCGCCGCCAAAGCCAAAGGCCGACCATAACACGGCCAGGCTGAGATTGCAAACCCCCAGTGGGAATCTGATGAAGACCTTGCCGGCTGAGACGACGCTGTTCGAGTTAGCCCAGATGGTCCAGGCGGAGACGGGATTGGCCGTCACAAGCTTCTCTACTACATTTCCCAAGCAGACGTTTACAGGAGATTTGGACATGTCCAAGACATTGAAGGAGGCTGGGCTTGTGCCATCCTCGGTGCTGATTGTGCAATAAGAGCAGCGTGGGTATTTAACATCAGCGTGGGTTGAATAGCTGATGAGTTGTGAGAGGCGTTTCATGGCATTACCGGGGTCGTTGTAGTTTGGGGGGAGGGGGTTTACAGTGAATTCGGTGTACCAGGTTTACATGCAGTAGAGGCAGCAATGATTTGTGACCAGCCCAGTCACAAACTATGGGCATCGCGTCCACCGTCCACTCTGGGTCCATATACTAGGATTTGCAAGTGTCACGGTCACTATTCAAAAGAAGCCTTCAAAAAATCATTCCCAGAAACCTCTATTTAACCAGAAACCCTTCCCGTCACGTAAACTCCGAATCTTCTTGGTATTTGTACGAGGGACATTCAATCATATTAATTTCCGTTATATGAACGAAGCTACCTCACACCCCAGGAGCCAACGCAAAGAAGGGGAGGGGGGGAACACGAAAAAAAAAATTTCCCTTGTATCCCTCTTTTCTTTCCTTTTTTTTTTTTGTGATGCGCGCCTTTTCTCCATCCTGTATGATCGATGTGATTTGTGAAGACCCCGAAGCCATGCAGTTGAAGTACAGAAGCAAGAAAACAGTCGTGAGTATTGGTGCGTTTAGTCGAAGAGACCGAAACCCATGTCCTCGTCGGACTCTTCCTTCTCTGTAACCAAAATGTTAGCATATCCCTCAGTTCGTTCTTTTCTTTCAAATATTCATGTGTATGAGCGGAAGAATTGGGGCGAGGGGGTTGCTCCAATATTCCTGCTCCTGGTGGTCTGTACGCACCCTCGACCTTCTCCTCCTCGGCGGGGGCAGCGGCATCACCGCCGGCGGCAGCAGCACCACCGGCAGCAGGGGCGGCAGCGCCGCCGCCAGAGCCGACGTTCACGAGCAGGTCCTTGACGTCCTTGCCCTCCAGAGCCTGTGTTACAAAAAACCTCGTTAGCGGAATGGCAGTTCCGTGTCAAAACGATGCGACCGCCCGGGGCGTTTTTCGCTAGCGAAGTTGGGGGAGATATTTCGCGTCGTTGTACCTTGGCGAAGATGGAGGTCCAGATGGGCTCAACGCCTTCGACGCCAGCAGCCTTGATCAGGGCCTGAAGCTTGTCGGCCTATTGCATTGAAAGTTAGCAGTGTGTTCCAGCGTGGGAAAGCACCAAGGACAAGTATATCAAGTGCTTTTTTGTAATTGCCGGCGCAGATTATTCCAATCACGCTTCCTTTGTTTTTCTTTCCCGTTCCCTACCCCCCGATCGAATCGTAGACTGCGCCGGCAATTTCGCACATTTTGGTAACTCTGTTTGGTGGCACTGCGGCGCCAAGATTGGGAAACTTACGGAGATCTCAACGCCGTCGTCGGCGAGGATCAGGGCCGCGTAGGACGATGCGAGCTCAGCGGTAGACATTGTGTGTAGTTTGTCGTAGTTGGTGGGTTGAACGACAAGTCTGCGGCGAGGTTCGTGGTGGATGTAGTGCAATTATCACCAAAGCGGGCTGAACCACAGAAAATTGACCAGGTTCGAAAATTCGTTTGGAGGGCTTCAAGACCTAAACGTGGTGGGGCGTTGTGTTTTTCCGACCGCCGAGTGGTGTGCGTTTGATCGTGGGGAAAGGAGGTGATTGGTTGGTTTTCCTGGCCAATCATAAATTCGTCAAGCTTTCAATGCCCCCCGTCTTTTGGTTAGGGTGGAAAGCAAACGACGCCAAATGTCTGCAAGGCTGACAATGTACTGGACATGACGGTGATGTTGAATGCTGGAGTGCACAGCACATGCCATTGTTACTCGTTGAAAATAGAAGCCTTTTTCGTAAGCTGACGCCTTGTGCAAATATTGAATTATGCTCACAGTCTTTGCAAGATGAGTCGTCGAGTCGGGGTAGCAAAAGTCGCGGCCGTACGCTTTGAGCAGCTTGATGATGACGACCAGTACCGCCCATGTTACACAGCTATTCTATCCCTGAATGGTCTGTTTCAACCAATGAATGGTACACAGAGAATTCTGACACCAACATCTAACGTACACAACTGCCCCTTTTGCTATTATTGTCCCAATTCCACACTTTTGATACAGTCCTCGCACATTACCAGACCTGTGTGCTTACTGGTGGAGACGATTCCGTCAACATCACACGAATGCAGCGGGAAACACAGGCAGGCAAATGGCACCTTGGCCCTTGGAAGCCCCAGCTCGAAGCATCGATGAGCTAATCATGAGTACCGAGTTGCCAGTCCAGGCGATTTTACAAGGTCAAGCCCCGCAAAAGGGCGCCGCTGCCTTTGTTGATTCGCCACCAAACTGCCTGGTGACTTATTACCACACTGGCTCCAGCTCACAGGTATGCCTGCCAATGGACG